AGACGTGTGCTCTTCCGATCTCCCCAAAACCCCAAAACCCCAAAACCCCAAGTAATAGATAAATCGAAAAATTGTATCTTACTAAATATAAATGAAAATGACATAATTTTAAATGAATAATAGAATTTGTAGATTAAACATAGAAGAAAGAATTTTATAAAGATTATAGATAATTATATGAAGCTGATAGGCACTCGGGTTTACCTCTAACTATCAACCCAAAGTTTTAACCTAATTGCTGCTCATAAATCTTCGATTTGGTTGTCACCACCTTCTTCTTCCTCCTTCCAAAGAGTCAGGTTCTCCTTGAGAAGCTCAATGATTGATTTAGCATCTCTGAAGTCATCCTCTCCGAGATCGTCAATCTTTTCTAGGGCAGCTTGAAGAGCTTCGTCAGCTAGGGTGCAAGCTTTGGACTGATTCTTCATAACTTCGTAGTGGAAGACTGAGAAGTTGAGGGCAAGTCCCAATTTGATTGGATTGCATGGTGGAAGATCCAATTTACTAGCTTCTTCATAGGATTTAAGTGCCTCTTCCTTAACTTACTATAGTTTCTCGTTCTAAGCAGTCTCAGCGATGTATCTATAATAGTCACCTACCATTTTTGTAAAGAAAGCCTTGGCCTCAACGTCTTTAACCTTGCCCTCAGGTAGTGCCTTAGTTTTGATAATGTGTATAACATTTTCGCAATCTGCGTAAAGACCTTATTCGATTCTCTTCTTATATCCAGCGAGTGAATCGTTGAACTTTTGATACTTGGGGTTCTGCTCAATGGCTGATATTGTTCTCCATGCAGTTCTCTTTGAGCTGATCAAATTCTTAAATGCAACACTCAATAAGTTTCTCTCATCAGAAGTAACATCACCTCCCTTAGTATCTAAAACTGGCTTCAAGAACTCAACCATATCTTCAAATCTCTCAGCTTATTCAGCTACTCTTGCTAAGAAAATGCTCTCTTCAACTGACATTGCTGTCTAAATTTCTATTATTTAAATTTAAATTATTAATTTAGAGATCTTTCTTCCTTATATACATCATCAATTTGGCTAAGGGGTTTTGGGGTTTTGGGGAGATCGGAAGAGCACACG